CTTGGGTTTTGATATAATTATATTATATATATTTATCTCAAAAGACTTCACCACCCCTGGTTCTAGATGTCCTTTAAATTAATCATCCTTGTAAGCTTATTCTAATGGGTGATTATCATCCAATACAAAATATTAATAATTGGCTAACAGTGTACGACAAATCATCCAACGATGACTCCATTGGCTTCTATTGTTATTGAGTTCCCCCCCCCCCCTAAAACTCCAAGGTTGAAGATAGACTGATAGAGACAGAAGATAATTAGGATTTTAATAATATTTACACGAACAAGGGCTTGGCCTAGTGGTAACACCACTAGTCTAGAACCTGGAGGTCCCAGGTTCGAATCCCTTAAGTAGTACCTTAATAGCAACAAAATGAACCTATATCACCCTTATAAAAAAAAAAGATTTTAATAATATTTACCAATCAAATGGTCGGATATATACTAATGATCTATAGGTAGACCAATTTTATTTGTCAAAAACAACATTATTAATGGGCTAATAATGGGGTTTTAGCCCTTCTAGAAACAAAAAAGGTGGGTGTCTGAAAAAATGCCACTTTAGTTTCTAGAATTAAAGCAACCATCCATAATGCGAATTGTTAGTGAGTGGATACGTGAACCATATATGTTCATTGGCAATTACTTGTACGAGGGATTTGATACTTATGGCAAAAGATTTGGTGCTAGCTAGAATGTTGGTTGTCAAGTACATTTCACCAATTAAGATGCTTATGGATAACTTTGTGACATTATTAAAATCTCTTATTTGCCCACTGGCCAGCGGCGGATCCAGGATTGGGTAGAGCACTGGGCCACATTGGAAAAAAACAGAGAAGGCTGGGCCGTAACACGACGAACACTGAAACGAACACCTAAACGAACACCAAAAATCGAAAATTTACACGTGCTATACTAGCTCTGGATCGAGGGAGGGCTGGGCCGGGGCCCGGGGCGGCCCCCCTAGATCCGCCGCCGCCACTGGCGATTGTGGTGAAAATTGAAACTTTATTTTATTTTATTTTAGGGGAATGTATACACTAAATTAGCGGGAGTTCACTCATTCATTTATCCTGATAACAACCCAATCTTTATGAAAGCTCGTTTTGAACTCCAAGATACTTAGTTTAGTGAATGTGATGTGTGAATCTACTATATGAAAAGACGTCATCTTACCTTCTAATCTTATTTCTATTTTCTTTGCCCCATGTCGGCACTATTTGCAAGGCGGATTGAGTGGCTAAATTTATTGTAAATGAAACCAACATCGAAAATTTCATATACATTATTGATATTATTCTGGGTATATAAACTAGAGCATTATGTACCACAATCGTTACCTAATTGTAAAACCAGTCTTTGTTTTTTATTTAAGAAACATAATTATTACTTTCATTTCTTGTTTCAGGTGACAAATGTATATTTCAACGATCATCAACTTGTGATAAATAACGTTTCATGAAATCTAATGAATATAAAATCATGATAACAATTCTCTTTCAATGTAACACATTAAAAGGATAGAAAATGTCAAAAAAAAAATTCAAAATTACAATACGTAAAATAACCATGAATGGTAATCCATTGCATATGAAATCACCGATAACATGATGTATCTACTCACAAAATATACAACCCTGTTTCTGAATCTAGTCTAAATATAATGAAACATGCAACATTATCTAATTCTAATCTAAAATATAGAAAGATGTTTCCCCATAAGAAAAATTAATATAGAAGATACATTGAAATGAACCGCTCAGCCAAACAAACAACACTGATATCGTCACCATCTATAAGATATATGATGGAGATTCATGACTCAACTTTTTTCCATTTCAAATTTTCTGCAACGAGAGTGAAAGTAGGAAGGGTACTTTCGTCATTGCAATTGTTTATTTTTTTATTTGAAAAAAATATCAGTGTCAAGATTTGAACCCGGGTCTCTTCTAACAAGGACAAGAGTCATAACCAATAAGACTAAACAAATTTGTTGCATTTATTTATAAAAAAAACATACAAGAGGCAAAATTCTGAAAATCAAATGACTTTTCCAGCACAGTTAGCTACCCCACTAAGTCTTTCTTAAGCATTTTTAGTGTTGGATCTTTGATTATCATTTATTATTATTTTATTTTGACTTCAATAATAATGGTAGTCTATCTTATAAATGGAGGATAATCTTAAAACCGCAATCCAAATATTATTTATTCGAATATTGCATATCAAATTACAATATTAAATATATATGTGCACACACAACCACATATATATGGGTCAGACTGGTGTACTCCTGGAGTATATTATACTTCAGGTACTCTTCGTGAGATATCTCTATCTAGACCATGATTTTTAACCGAGTTTGGGGTATGATACTCTACCCTAACCTCTAATGGATAAACCCCAGGCCCCGATTCTCTAAACTCAAACCCAAAGTTTAATTTAATGGAAAATTATAATTGACCATTGAGATTGATTGGAGCTCAACAAAGTACATCTAATGTCTAGATCATGTGGAGTATACTATACTCTTGGAGTATACCAGTATACTATACTCCTGTAGTATACCAGTATGTGTGTGTGTAGTGTTTTCTATCATATTTTGAGTAAAATCAAAAGGTAACTCATACCCTTGGTAAGAAATGGCAATCTAGACTTTGAATTAACCTGATTTCGAGACGAGACACTATATTCTAACCCTTGACGAGTGAACTCTAGGTCTTAACTATTTAAATCATAGATCCTAAACCAAGGATTATAAAACCTCATCAGAGGTTGTACCGAAAAAGTCGGCAGGAGGGTATTTTATGCGAAAACTGTGGTTAACCGTGATTCAGTCGTTTCACAACACTACATAGTGCCTACTGGTTTAGTCGAACCCCCGGTACGTTAAGGGTTTTCAATCCTTGCCCTAAACACTAAGATTATGCACATAATTTTTTTGATGTATTTTGATGAAACACGACCTTCGATTATTGTTTCTAATAAAATTGATCTTAGTATATGAGCTTCATAGAATTAAGACCTAGATTTTAATCTGTAAGGGCTTAAGGTATAGTACCATGTCCCTAGCTCCGGCCACTAGACATCATTTTCATACTCAGAGTATATCATTCAAGGTCTATATATCATTTCCTTATGTCATTTTCTTAATCAAAATATGATAGAACCACCCATACTTATAGTTGTGTTATCCTGCTGGAAAGTCATTTGTTCTAAATGTTAGTTGGTTGGACTGCAGTTTTATCAGGGTTGTATGTTGTTTGAAACATTTTGAACTTCATTAGTCCAATATTTTTAGTACTCCTATATTATTTAGGGATAATATCCTATTTTGTGTTGAACTTTGATGTAAATAACAATTTTGGCATGAACATTCAAATAAGATAGTTTTGTCCGAATTTGAAAGAAATTAACAAATTTGGTCGGTTATTAATATTGAGGGTCAAACATTTCTTTTTTTTATGACTCAACATACAATGTTAAGGTGACTGTGGTGTGACTTTCACGTCATAGGTATAATATGCTATTTTGCCCTACACTTTCAAATAAGACAGTTTTGTACGAATTTTCAAAGAAATGAATAACTTTGACCCAAAATTTAGGTTGCCGTTAATATTGATGAGAGGGGTACAAAGAGAGATAGCTTCGTGCTTTGGGATTTTTGGGGGCCTGAATCAATTTCTTTTTCCTTTTAATATGATTTATGCAAGTAAATATGAAAATATTAGGATATACTAAGGGTCCTATTTTGTGGTCTTTTTTTCTTCTGAAAAATTCACTTTTTTAGACTTTATAAATAAATGACTTGGAAGCCACATCGCAACCGAAACCTCTCTATCACAACTGTCAATATTAAAGGTCAACCCAAATTTCGGACCAAATTTGTTCATTTCTTTCAAAGTGCAAACAAACCTATCTTATTTGAAAATTCGAGCCAAAATTGTCTTTTACATCAAGTTCATGCCAAAATAAGGTATCATCCCTATGACATGGAAGCCACATCGCAATCGCAACCACCTGAGCATTGTATGTTGAATGGATGAAGAAATTTTTAACTTTTAATATTAACGAACAACATAAATTTCAGTCCAAATTTGTCCATTTCTTTCAAAATTTTGAAAAACTGTCTTATTTGCAAGTTCATGTCAAGTTTGGCTTTTACGACAAACTTCAAGGTCAAAATAAGGTATATCCCTATTATTTATGGTCAACTTACCAATCAAAGTAGTCAGTGAAAGTATCAGCAACACTGACAAAGACAAACATATGTAATTCAAAATTAGTTGCACTCAGCCTTAAGTTTGAAGCTCTCTTGAGAACCCGGACTATTTTCTAGGCATCTTCGGGGACTACGACTAGCATGCTTCCAAACCAGCTGATCCTTATTCTACTTTCTATGAAGAGGAATAATATGGGTGTATCTGTTAGACATTAATTAGGGTTACAAATGATCTCATTCCTAAAATCTGTTAGAGACCAATCTTTTTCTTTCCTTCTGAGGGTTCATTATGTATGTTTTAGGAAAAACAACTCTAATCTTGAACTATTTGCCATTTTTAAGTATTGAAAACCTATTATTTTGTATGTTTTTCTTTTCTTCTTTGAACAATTATATTTCTTTTTTCAGTGATATGTCGTATCTTCCTATTATATTGTAAGCATGTTATATGAACATATTTTTTGTCTAGACTTTCCCGGCCAAGGGGCCGGCCCCGGTGCTAGTAAATAATAATAAAAATTCCCAATCTGATAATCATCCTAAGTTGTTTCTCATATTTGTTTGTGCATTAAAAACTAATAATTTATATTTTATACATTTTATCGCGGAAACAGAAATAAGATAACAACGAAAATCAGGACAAAAGAGCGAAAACCCGGCAACCCGCGGGTAAAAGCCGTTATTTCAGTTGCCAAAGGAGGGCAACCAAGTACTTTCGCGCACTCTTCCTTTACCTGGCCGCTACGCGAAATAAAGATCCCCAGACACAGAAGAGAGGAAAGGGAGAGGAAATCAATCCAGATTGAGAAAGAAAGAGAGAAACTTCTGGCAGAAGAACGAAGAAGAAAGCTGCAAATTCCCAAAGCTCTCTCTGTTTTTTCAAAATTTATACTTGTTCGTTGTTTCTCTCTTTCCTTCTCTTTCCTTCGAGAAAACCAGAAGAAGGAAGCAAATTACCGGTCAAAAGATTCTCCCTTTTGCATTTCTTCAATAAAGCTGCCCAATTTCTTTGCCGAGTCAATCGGGTGCGTATAGTGTCGAACAGAAGTCTGTACAGGGTCTGTTCTGTATATATTCACAGCAAAGCTTGTTCTTTTAACTTTTGTAAGCCAAAAATCCGAAGAAACCCTTTTGTTTATATTGGGGAGGGTTTTCTCGATCTGAAAATTCATCGAATTGGGTTCGTTTAGTGGTGGGAATTCGTCGATTTAGCGGTTAATTTTATCTGGGTTCTGGTTTTTTTCCGACCTCCTTCGTTCATTCATGGCGGTTCCGACGATTGCTCTGTACGCGAGCCCGCCGAGCACGATATGCTCGACGCCGCACCCATGCTCTGGCAGCACGAGCTACGACTTCGATCTTAATTCGAGATCCTCGTCTTCCGCTTCCGCCAGTGGCTCTTGCTCGCATAAATCCCAAATCGGCGGGCTGACGTGTCTGTTCTCTTCGCCTAGTGTGGTAAAGCACTCGTCGTTCGCCGGCGATAGGGAGGAATTGGGCGCGCTCTGGCACGATAGAGGGGACGATTTGAAGGAATTGAGCAGCTCGTTTCGCTATTCTCCGAGCAAGTACATCGTCGCCGGCGGCGGAGGGTATTGTGCGAAGAAGGACCAGAGTCCGGTTTCGGTGTTGCAAGCCCCGGTCTCTTGCTCCAGCAGTCCTCCGACGAGGTTAGCTCGTGGCGGCGACGTCTGCTTTCCGAGCTCGGTTCATAGCTCGTTCCGGTACGGGGCGAATAGACTGTTCGATGGATTCGTGAGCCATGCATTAGGTTCTTGTGTGGACTACGATTCGCCGAGCTTTGAAGTAGCTCCATCTCCCGTTCCTCCGGCTGCTGATGAATTGACGTTTAATATGGAGGACAGCTTCGTGGGAGAGCCTGATTACGAGCCATATGCGAAGGAGTTGTTGCTTGGTGCACAAATGAGGCACAAGATCTTCACAGATGACTATGTGATCAAGGCCTTCCACGAGGCCGAGAAGGCTCATAGAGGACAGGTATTCGCTGTTGAAATCTAGGTTCTTCCACCTTCATTTGTATAAATTGAGGTTGGTGATGTGTTCTTATTTGTAAAGTTTGTATTTTTTGTTCGTTCATTTGTAGATGAGGGCGAGTGGCGATCCTTACTTGCAGCATTGCGTGGAAACCGCAGTTTTGCTTGCAACAATTGGTGCTAGCCCCACGATGGTTGCTGCAGGTCTTTTACATGATACGATCGATGATTCATTCTTGAGCTATGACCATATTTGCAGCACGTTTGGTGCTGGAGTGGCTGATTTGGTTGAAGGGGTAAGATGACAGTAATTTACGATGACTCATTCTTAGTGTTTAGTTGTTCAGCGAGTTTGGTGACTGTTGTGGGGGTGTGATGTTAATGTTATTGGTGACCTTCATTGAGTTGATACCTTGGTTGACCTTTTGAATCTGACATGATTATTTTGATTGGGAAGTAGTGTATTTTATTCGACGATCTCGTCTTCTTTTGTTTGAATCCACTTTGAGAATGAAGGAAAAAATGTAGTATCGTTGTTGGATTGGAATCCAGTATTTACAGTTCATGATTCTTTGTCATTACTTACTCAGGTCTCGAAGCTTAGCCATTTGAGTAAGCTGGCACGAGAGAACAACACTGCCAGCAGAACTGTCGAGGCAGATCGTCTGCATACAATGTTTCTAGCAATGGCTGATGCCAGAGCAGTGTTGATAAAATTAGCTGATCGATTGCACAACATGATGACACTGGATGCTCTGCCATTGGTCAAGCAGCAGAGGTTTGCTAAGGAGACTCTTGAAATATTTGCTCCTTTGGCCAACCGATTAGGGATCTCTTCGTGGAAGGACCAGCTGGAAAACTTGTGCTTCAAGCATCTGAACCCTGATCAACATAAAGATCTGTCTTCACAACTGGTGAAGTCTTTCGATGAGGCCGTGGTTACTGCAGCGACAGATAAATTGGATCGAGCGCTGAAGGATGAAGCCATAAGCTACCATGTGCTCTCTGGGAGACATAAGAGCTTGTACAGCATTTATCGCAAGATGTTGAAGTAAGCTTAGCTCTCTCTCTTGCGCGCTCTCTCATATAGTTGGAGTATCGTGTCAAGTGTTAAATTGGACCACTGTTGATGTACTTCTTGAGAAACTCCTTGGATCAGATTACTACTTTCCTTAAGTTTTCCCCTGGACCAGCAAACCATCGTATCATGTTAGAAAGCTTGAAGTACCTTTATGAGATGCAGTAATCTCATTGATAAATTAGGAAGATGTGAAGGGCCATGAACTATGTGCTGGTGATGTTTCACCATTTGTGAGTTTTGTCTTGCTGCTGAGGCGTCAGTAAAGGCCCGAGTTAAATTTAATGATTTTATAATTCGAGAAGGGAAACAAGCCTTGCATGGATCTTAAAAAATTACTATCTTATGATGTTTGTAGTTATTAAGGACTTTATTCTGTTTCCGACTGTAATCCTGAATTTTATGTTTCTTCAGGAAAAAGCTGAAGATGGACGAGATCCATGACATCCATGGCCTCCGTTTGATTGTCGAAAACAAGGAAGACTGCTACAGAGCACTGAGAGTCGTCCACGAGTTGTGGCCTGAAGTACCTGGGAAGTTCAAGGATTACATAAGTCAACCCAAGTTCAATGGGTAAATCTATCTTCTCTCTCGTTTTAAATCTGTCATCTCTGCATTTATTCTCTTGTAAGTAACCGGAGTTGCCGTGTTTTCTTCAGGTACCAGTCACTTCACACTGTGGTCACAGGCGATGACGAGGTCCCACTCGAGGTCCAGATCCGGACAAAAGAGATGCATCTGCAGGCTGAGTTTGGGTTTGCCGCGCACTGGAGGTACAAGGAAGGTGACTGCAAGCACTCCTCGTTCGTCCTGCAGATGGTCGAGTGGGCTCGGTGGGTAGTGACTTGGCAGTGTGAGACAATGAACAAAGATCGGTCCTCGTCGATCCCTTATGCTGCTGATTCCGTGAAACCTCCCTGTGCCTTCCCTGTCCATTCAGAAGATTGCAGGTATTCCTGCAAGCCTCTCTGTGGCCAAGATGGACCCGTGTTCATCATCATAATCGAGAATGATAAGGTTCGGCTAGCACCGCTTTCTGCCCTCCTATTTCATGGCTTGGCTTAACGCTTCTTAGTTTCCCCATAAATTTGACAATGCCAACTGGGATTCTTCTGAATTGCAGATGTCGGTCCAGGAGCTCCCAGCAAACTCCTCCATCGTAGACCTGCTCGAGAGAGCCGGGCGAGGCAGCACGAGATGGTCGCCATATGGCTTCCCAGCCAAAGAAGAACTGCGGCCAAAACTTAACCACGAGCCAGTGAGCGATCCTACCTGCAAGCTGAAGATGGGAGATGTTGTGGAGCTAAGCCCCACCATTCCCGATAAGTCTCTGACCGAGTACAGGGAAGAGATACAGCGGATGTACGACAGGGGTTTGAAGACAACGAGCAGCGTTTCGTCGAGCACAGCGCCTACAACTACTACTGGATGGAGAAGTTGATATAACACTACTACTTCATTTGGATCCAAATGAATGAATGAATAGCGTTCATAGTAACAATTGGTTTGTTTCCTTGTAAATACATGTTTGGTTGTAGAAGAACAGATGTAATGTAATCGTATTGTAAAAAATGGGGAAATTGGTTAAACTGGTTGTGGAAATCGGCCCTGGCTGGGTTTCCAAGTTCCCCTCATTAAATGAAAAGATTACTGTTCTGTTTGATTTCACTTACCACAAGTTTTCTTTAATAGCACTACAAGTCACTGGTTCCAGTATCCAAAGTTCTTGATCCGACGATTGAGTTACAGTCATCACAGAATGCTAACCGAACTGAGTCAACTGACTGATTTGTTAACACCAGTTGCTCTGTATCAGTCCATCTAATCAGTTAACACAACTCGAACTCATAACGTCGACTCCGAACATGCAAAGGAAATGCACGAATAAGAATCTAAACATAGAACTGGGAAGACGCACCCATTTTTTGCTACTAAACGCTTAATTCAGTACGGATAAGCCCCAGGCTTCTAATCTGTATCTTACAAGTTACAACTGAGTGCAGGCACAGAAAGGAGTACTCATGAAAAAAAACTTTCCTGTCCTACCCTATCAGCTATCTATCACTTGGGTCGTTTGGTAAGAGGGAATGAGACTCTTTGAGGGGTTTGCTGCTGTTGAGGCACATCAGTACTTGGTTCCTGTGAAGAAGGATTCTGATCAGGCATTTCTTCATCTTCGTCCGTCTCTTCTACTTGTGGAAGCTGTTTCTTGGGGAAAGCCAATTGATAGTTGGGGCTGATCAGTGTGTCCTGCTCAGGTGGGAGAGGAACACCGGGACCTGGGGCAGTCTTAGGCAATGGGATCTTGTTTCTGTTCCTTGCCAACTCCAGCAAAACCTGATGAGATGAAAAAGGCTATCAAGAGTCTGAAAACTGGTCTTTACATTCCCACAAAGAGGGAAGATAACAGGCCAATTACATGAACTAATATATCGGTGGCTGAACTTAATTTATGTACTGTGATTGGCCACGGAGAGCAGAGGTACGAGTGCTGTTATCTAGGTTTTTAGCACAGGGAAGTGTTCATCATATGTAGAGAATTTATGAGCCAACAAAGAAAGACACAGCCATACGAGTTCTACCAATCCAGACAAAAGGACTCCAGATGCAGTTATGAATAAGTGAGAAGTTCAGAATGCACAATCTCAGACAAAGCCGATTGAAACTTTGATCTCATCCTAAATCGATATAAGAGTTATTAGTACAAGCTGCAGGCAAAGCTTCTATCCCTTGGCAAACGTTTTATGCAATCTAGCAACTGTTCTACTTAATTTTGTAGAATTCCCCCACCCGTTCACTTCTAGTTACAAGACATTATGAGATTGATATGGCAATGTACAAGTATATGCATAAGCTGTTATTAACTCAAATAATATGGTTGTACTAGCTTAGAGAAAGTTGATTGAACTAAATACCTCTCTTGGTGGGGGTTGTGAGAAGCTGAAGTTGACTTTGGACTGAATAGCAAGCTTGACATCATCCGTGTCGATCGCAGCTTTCCCAGCATGCTCCGAGTAAACCTGAGCATCTGTCAACACATCGACGACATAACGATACCAGAGCTCCAGAAACTGGTGGATAACACGGGGCTCGTAGTCCTCAACTCCCATTGATTTCAGCAGCGACTTCACGATCTTTGCATCTCTGGGCATCTCCTCATCTCCCTCGGCCATTTTCTTGCCGCTGGGGGGAAACCCCTACATCAACATCATCCGTTAGCAAAGAGGGGAAATTTTCTCCAAACCCTAACAACTCTTGATACAAAATTTACCAAAATTCTCCTAAAGGGCAAGTTTGGGGCACAATTGAAATGAATGGGAAGCTGGATATTGAGCATAAAGATCCAGTTTTTAGCCTAAGAAATAGAAAATCCAGCAGAGATAGCTATGGGATTTTCATTTTTTCCCCGTAAGCATTCAGAAGTCTGAATTTCAAATCTCAGAGCTTTGTTTTCCATGAGGAAGGAGCAGAACTACATTAGGATTTGGGATTGATTGAAGCGACTGGAATCCGGGAAAACTTACTTCAGAGATGGCGCCGGGAGAGCGAGCTAGGCAGAGTCAGGGGCGCGGAATCCGGCGAGTTACCGAACAACTCAGCTCCGGCGGGAAGGCACCGGAAGAAGAAGAGAAGGGCACTCGCTATAAAAAGGAGAGGGAATATGAATGGAACTTCTAACATAAGAATCAAAACGGATAAAATGACATAGTAGGTGGACTTCTGGAGTTAATAACTATTTATTAAGGATGTATTTGTCTAGGGGCCAATACTACGGTGCCGCTGTTAAAACTGCGGCACCGTGGTGCCGCTGTCTTTTGATTGGTCCACATAGGAACGATGTGGCGCTGGTAGGTTTACTAAACCCAACCTAGATTCAGTGACCATTAACCGGCCCAAATCGCCATCGAGCCAAGTAATGGAGTATTTGTTGTTCCGTCTTCCCTCCGTTTACCGTTTTCCTTTTTAGTTTTTAGTTTTTACATTAATATTCTTTTGTGTAACTGTTGACTTTATACGTTTTTGTCTAGCAACAAAAAACAAAATACATAAATGAAACACAGAAGCCGCCTCTGTCTTCCTCGCTCTCCTGCTCCGGCGGACGGTGACAAGCAGTTTCGGCCAACTTCCACTAAACTCCTCTATCGGTGATTCAGTCTCCAGTCTATAGTACCATAGACATCCACTAACCTCCACCGCCTTCCTCTTCCATTTATTTCGTGAGAAAGAAAACGAAAAATCCTTCACCCCGACTGGCACTCTGTCTATGTCGAAATGTTCCCCGTCATCGTACCACACCCAATCCAAAGAAAAATAGAATGGCCCTTCCTCTGGGTTTGCTGTGTTAGTCTTTCCTTTTTTTTCTATTATGTCTTGCTTTGCTCTTTCGCTTGATGCTTCGTTTTCTTGAGGCGGTGCTCTGTTATGCTGAACAAGAGTGAAGAGAGAAGGCAGGGGAGAAGACGGACTAAATGGAGGGGAGGGGTCTGATAAAAAATTAAAAATTAATCCCTCCCCACTCTGCGTCCTCCCTGTCGTAAGCGTCAAATTCGAAGCTAAAGTTCGTTGGAGGCAGCGCCTTTCCCCAACGAAATTCACTGAGGAATTAATTAAAGAGCAACGATGTCGACCACCATGAGGAGTTCGCTCTCACTTCGATCTGGGCAATAAGACCGCGTCAAGAATACCGAGCCCACCAAACAAAAAGAGCGACCAAACATCGACATTCAGGATGTCAATTGGGAGCAAAATCAGGGAAAGAAGAGATGTCGAGGACGGAGACGGTGAACGAATTTAGTGGAGGTTAATCAAAGAAGTTATAAAGGTTGATAGATTGGCGGCAGATAAGTTCGCTGGGAAATTTTCTTGCTTTGACAGTCCACCGGAGGCCGGAGCTGGAGGGCGAGGAAACGATGATTGCTTCTGCTTCTCGTCCTCCTTTGTTTTCGTCAATTAAATATTATGGAGTTAATAACGAGAAAAAAAAGGAATATGAACTAGAGATTAGACGGACGGAATCAAAATCTCCGTGTGGGTGGCTTGGGCCCAACTACTAACCAAACGATAAGGCTTGGGTTTGAATAACCCAAGCAATTCCACATCATTCCTATGTGGACCAATCAAAAGATAGCGGCACCGGTGCCGCACTTTTAACTGCGGCACCGTAGTATTGGCCTTGTCTAAGTAGTTGGAGAATGAGATTTTTTTTTTTTTGGGCCTTGAATTGCACTATTGGGCTTTCCTTTGCCATGGGCTCTACAGAAACTATATAGGTTTACACTGAATGAAAATGGCGGGCTCCAACCCAATTACTCCCACTCTATAACGAAGCTCCCCAAAACCCTAGTGTTCTCCCAGCAGCTGCGGAGTACCAGTAAGCAAATTTCTCGTCTTTCCCCTGTCCTCTCGTTGCGGCCGAGCTCCGAAAATGGTAGGAGAAGCAGAAGCTGGTAAAACGATGGAGAAAGAGATGGAGGTAGGAGAAGAAGAGATGGAGGTAGGAGAAGAAGATGCACCGAAATCCAGAGATATCCGACGACACTTTTGCAAATACTGCGGAATTTGCCGATCCAAGAAGGCTCTCATCGCGTCTCACATCCTTTCCCATCACAAGGTAACTTTTCTCTCGGGTGATTCTAAGCTGTTTCTATTTGATTCGGTGGAACTGTGATCTAATCGAATTCCTTCAATTCATGTTTTCAGGAAGAGATGAGCGAGGAAGATTCAGATGGAGAAGGGAAAGAGGAGAAATCCAATACTTGTGAGGAATGCGGGGCTAGCTTCAGGAAGCCGGCGTATTTGAAACAGCACTTGCTGAGTCACTCGCTTGAGGTAAAAAGTCTTAATATTTACTCGTCTGTCTGATGGGGTTTTCATCGGCCATTGATGAGATTGATGTGTGAATTCTTATTGAGGAATCTCGAATCTTAGAGATATATTTGGTTTCGGATAGCCTTTGAATTTTTGGGTTTGTGACTTTGTGTTGCTTAGTTTATATATCATTTTGAAGAAGCTGGATATTGAGATCTGAATGATTGTTGCAGGAAATTTATGATGTTGTTGTTTTAAGTAATTAAAACGACTTAACTGGATTTGTTGCGGTGTGAAAGCATTGGATCCCATATCACAGAACTCCAAAATGCAAGAGCGGACTTTGTTGGACTAGTATCAGGTTGGGTGACCTCCTGAGAAGCTCCATCAAGGCGAAAGCCTCGAATCACGCACTAGAAATATCAAGGTTTGGCAGTGGTTATCGCTTTAGTTTGTCATCATATTGTGTTGAGAAGCCTTTTCATTATTATACTCTGTTTTCTTGTATCCTAGGAGTTTGAAATCTGTTTTATTTTTTCTTTCTTTCTTGTAGAGGCCATTTAGATGTCCAGTGGAAGATTGCCATTCAAGTTACCGTAGAAAAGATCACCTGACTCGGCATTCCCTCCAGCACAAAGGGAAGCTTTTCGAATGTCCAATTGAGAGCTGTAGCATGGAGTTCATGTATCAAGGCAATGTGAAGAGGCATATTGAAGTTATGCACAGTGAATCATCCAATGACGTTGGAGGTTCAAAGCAATGTGTTTGTGAGGAGCCTGGTTGTGGGAAGGCCTTCAAATATCCATCGAGGCTTAAAAAACATCAGGATTCTCATGGCAAGTGCCCTTGTTTTGACATCAATTTTCTGTCATTACCCTGAATCCATTTGGCTTCATTTCTAATAGTTCTTACTCTTCATCTTGTGATGCAGTGAAGCTTGATTCTGTTGAAGCCATGTGCTTAGAACCGGGCTGCAACAAGCATTTCTCGAATGAAAAATGCTTGAGAGCCCATATCCAGACAGCCCACAGGTACATGAATTGTGAGATTTGTGGTTCGAAGCAACTGCGGAAGAACATCAAGAGACATATGAGAAGCCACGAAGCAGGCAGCGAGACAACAGAGCGGGTTGCGTGTCACCATGAAGGCTGTAGTCTCACGTTTTCATCTGTAAGGAATCACATTCATACATCAGAGCAGGAAATTCATTCCCCTTATAGCTTTTGGCTCTCTCAAACTGAGTCTGTTTTGCTCTCAACCAGAAAACTAATCTCAACCAGCATGTGAAGGCTGCTCATCTCAACGTCAAGCCTTTTGGCTGCAGTTTCCCTGGCTGTGGCATGAGATTCTCCTACAAGCATGTTAGGGATAATCACGAAAAATCCGGGTGCCATGTCTACTCTTGCGTAAGTCTAATTTACCTTGTGTTGCCTGCAAGCCCTCGCAGATGGAATGGAACAAGTCTGATTGTTCATATCTCTGTTTGGTTGGGTTCACAGGGCGATTTTCAGGAATCTGACGAGCAGTTCCGATCAAGACCTAGAGGCGGGATGAAGAGGAAATGTCCGACCGTTGAGACCCTCTTGACCAGGAAGAGAGTTTCTCTGCCACCAAACTTCGACTAGCTTTTGGTCCCGTCGGAAGATATGAAGATTCTGAGTGTTAGTAATTTCTTACAACGAGTAGTGTATATGTATGAGGTGCATGTATGTAATTATTCACGTATGGTATAGTTTTGTTAGAGTTCAACGAAAGCTGTTAAAATTAAACCGCAGACATTTTCCTCTGTAGTAGTATCTCAAAGTAGTGGTGATATATGAATATTGAATTGTATCGATATATTGTAATCAAAGTCCAACAATATATCTTAGGTACTCTCGCCGCTGTATGAATCTAGGTGTCGTCCCTGAGCGAGGCGGAATTCCTAAGCAAGGTATTTTGACGTTGCCTAGCTTTTAGGCACAGGGTTGTTAATGAGTCGAGCTATTCGTGAGCGGTTCGGTCTCGAACTCGATAAAAGCTTCTTTGATTAAAAAAAAGACTGGCTCGTTAATAAACGAGCCGAACTTGAGCTCTACCTTGTTCGGTTCGTGAAGCTCGTGAACTAGCTCGATTAGGTGGCTCGGTTAATATAACTCATGAACTGTCTCGTTTTGACTTATGAGATGTCCCAACATTGTGACTAGAGAGCCAACTCGACTACAACTTATGAGAAAATCAATCTATATTTTATGAGTTGGTTTGTTAATGATGCATATAATTATTAAATTGTATATATCACCTAATATGGTCTTTAATACATTGAGTATATGTAAGCAAATACGTCTCATATATGACATAACATTAGGTAATCACTTGTATCACATATGACATATAAATATTAGGGTATTTATATTATAAATTATCTTAGAGTTGAGCTCGAGCCGAACTTTCGATCTTAATGATGTGTCAAGATTGTATAAATGAACTGGCTCGTGTTCGACTCGACTCGGCTAGTTCATATACGAGTCGGGCTCGAGCTCGGCTCGTTTATAAACGAGCCGAACATGAACAAGGCAAAACTCAACTCGAAACATCACCATCTCGAAATTAAAACGATAACCTTCAACATAAAATTAGCTTCATTAGCTTCATTAGGCACACAAGCTCCCCCCAACTCATAGTACATAAATACGAAAACAATGCCTATGACATTAGGAAAAGAAACTAATTAATAGGGTCCAAAACATATAGTACATATACATAGGTGCTACATTACATTTCCATCATTGCTCTATCTCCAGAAGAAATGCTGAGCAGATTCTTGCCATGACAACACAAGCACGAGCATAACCAATATCCCGGCAAGCCCCCACGACGAGCTCCCAATCCTAAGCACCCAAGAAGGGTCCGGCGACGGCGCAAATGACCTCCCACCTCCATTGCTCGATGACGTCGTCTTGATTGCAATGATCAACCCTGCCAGGAGCATCGGGAGGACCAAACCAGAGCTCCAACCGGGCTCGTAATGGGGGTAGAATCGCGACGACGACGAATGGTCACTCTTTCTGCTGACATACAGCGGCGATAGCACCACCGCGGATGTTAGAGCTAGCACCATGGCTAGCCCTCTTTGAGATGAAGAGTTTTGGGTAGCATAGTGAGAATTGGAACTTGCCATTGGTGTTATGCTAGCTCTGTTTTGGTTGGTTCTTCTTTCTCCCTCTCTGAAAGAGGGGAAGAAATCCAACTTGAGATGGAATGCTCTGAGGGGGGAATTTGGGGTAAGGGAGCAAATGGGTTTTCTTATAAGAAGAGGATGATGGTAAAGATGGGAGATGATGAAATGAAGGAATCTGGAAGGCAATTGGGTGGGAGAAAGTAAAGTGGGAGACAAATTTAGCCGTCCAAAAAGTTGGAGAAAAACTGGAAAAGGGGTCTATAAGAGAGGAAGGTAAGTGGGGAAAGGGATTGGATTGGGTTACAAGTAAAGTATCTGTTGGAATCATTCATTTTGGGTTCCTATTGTGAGATTGAAGAACGTTGGAGAAAAAGGCAATTACTATGTTTAAAGTAAAGTTGTATGTTAGCTGTGTTCTCGTCATCACTTTTCTTCTTTTGTTGTGGGGAGTGGCCTAAGTTTCATTTGAATCTAAATATAATGTAACCATTTTCTTTAACATCCCCTTGGATGATTACCAAGAGTAAAAGAGGTACCTTGGTGGGTAAGGAAGCTCCTACATGTGATAGGGCAAAAGCAACGCCTCAATCCTATCTTGTAGTAAAACCGGAAAGTCCGGGTATCGTCTCTTAGGGACTGGCACAACCTCATAATATATCAATTCTATGAGCAAACTATAAGTGAAAATGGTTTGAGAGAATAATTATTATCTAATAGCAAAATAATTAAACAAAACAAGCAAATTAAAGTTGTCGGGAGAAATTCAGTGGAGAAAGCTCTGGGAGAAACACCGAGACTCACTACCTATCATATCAAAATTAATTCATATATTCCAATCAGTTTAATCCAATTCTCTACAGCCACGATATCACTAATGTGCTAGCTATCCCTGTCGGGAATTACTACGTACTAAACAATTAAATCAAATCCTACTGTCATAGCTCAATGACTTAATTATTTAGCCTGAAGATCGATATCCTATCTAAGACCGCATAAAACCTTATTTAATCCACTGTCGCTTCGATAAGTTGCTATGTCACATGAAATAGGTTCAATTATTAGGGTTTCACTGTCGCTAATAACCTAATTAACTACAAATCATTGTATTGGTGGCCAGTCAACACAAAGCATTAAGCAATTCCATGTAATAGAGATTGGAAGAAAAGAATTATGAATCAATCCATCAAATATAGAAATGGCTACATCCTATAGTGTTTCCCCCAGAAATTGGGGTTTAGTTCATGACGAAAATAAAACATACAATCATTATCATAATCATCATGTCACGAATCGAAACAAAAGAAAAAGAATACTGAATTTATCGAACGATCCGACTCCAATTCCTTCTTGCTCCGATCGCTACTCTGCTGCTCCGCACTCTGCTGTCTCCCGTCGAAGTTGGCGATCTCCAAAAGAAGTCTCGTCGCCAGCTCTCTGCTTTTCTCCTCCCGTCCAAAGAATTCCTCCAGTTCCGTCCTTGTATCCAATTCAATCCCAATAAATGACCCATGCTCCTGGGGTAAATGACACATTTGGTCACTGAGATTACTAAATCGTGTCATATTTAGTCACTAGAAAAATTTAATATCAATTTTGGTCACTCGAATTACTGACACAGGTCACATTTGGTCACTCTTCTGTAGCCTCTGTCCAACTCCGGTCACTCGAATTATTGAAAAATGTCACATTTAGTCACTCGTATTACTGAAACATGTCACATTTAGTCACTCTCCCAAAAGTTTCCGTCCAACTACATTAATGGAGTTGGACGGAAACTGACGGGAGAGTGACTAAATTTGACCAGTTTCGGTAATTCGAGTGACCAAAATTGATATTAATTTTTTCTAGTGACTAAACATGACACAATTTGATAATCTCAGTGACCAAATGTGTCATTTACCTATGCTCCTGTCTTTTTTTTCTTCCAATAATTCCCCCTCTCCCAATTATGTGTGTCCCCAAAAAAACCAATTCCCCTCCTTGTTAATTATCAACTCTTCAATTATTCCATCTCAATTTTCGGTCCGCCTCTCCTTCTCGTTCTTTTCCGAGGGAAAGCAAATGGGCCGCTAGGCCCATTTTACTGGTTGGAGCTGCTGGCCAGATTTACGGTCAAAGTAAATTGGTTCAGGTCGATTCTTTCCATTTTCCAGTTTCATTATTCTTGTACGTCCTAATCATTTCAGCACTCCGGCCTGGGATCTCTTCCCAAGAAGGTCGTTGCTCAGGTGGATGGCATGGTGGAGCTGTCTCGGGGTCGTCGGCTCATCCTAGAACAGAATTCGGATGATGACATGGCGGATCCTCCTTAGTCTAAAGAGCAGGTGGCTCCGCAAGGCCCACAACGGATCCCGGCTGATTTGCCTTGTTCGGGCCAGGTGATTACTTCTGCAGATCCATCGGCTGGGAGTTCAAAGCCCTTGAAGCGGCGAGGTCGTCGTGCTGCGTCCAAGGCCAGCTCGTCGGCCGTGCCAGCTGACCAGACTGCGAAGTGTGGAGTTGTGGAGATTGATCCACCCCCAAAGCAAGCTCCTCGGGCTGCTCGAAAACTAAGGAAGGCCCAGGCCCCGCTTGGGGAGGAGCTCCAAGTAGGTGGTGGCGGGGTAGCTGTTTCCCTCCCATCTCCGATTATATTGGACACCCCGGCCAGTGTAGCGGCCGATGGATTACATGGTGGGAAGCAGGCTTGTGAGGAAGAATGGTTTGCCCGAGAAGGGGGCTGGGGATCTTGATGAATATGGGTCGAACATGACCAACCCAGCTTTTGAGACTCGTAAGCGTCCTTTGGCAATTGTTGAGGGTGAGGTGTGAACCCCTCCCACGCCAAAGAGGCACTTTGTGGAGTTTGCTGATGATAATGAGAAGGTGGAGGAAGCCAGCCTGAAGTGGCCCCAATCTAATAAATGAAGCTTCTGGCCTGGAATGTGAGAGGAATTTGACCATCCCTCACATTTCAAACTGCAGTTGGGTTAGTTCGTTCGAATAAACCGGATCTAGTGTTTTTCTCGGAAACACGATCGAGCCGGCGTGTTGTCTCCCGTCGTATGCGGGGTTTAGGTTTTGATCTTTATCAGTGTTTTTTTGTGGATGCTATTGAGGCGTCCGGTGGTTTAGTAGTTGCTTGGTCCCCCCGAGTTGATGCTTCGGTGTTTTATCATTCCAATTTCTGTATTTGTTCCCAAATTAATGAAGAGGATTTTTCTTATATCGTGATTTGTGTCTACATTAGTTGTAATTCTGTTGTTCGAGCTGGTCAATTGGCTCATCTTCGTGAGCTTTGCTCCTCCCTTCAAATTCCTTATGTGGTCATTGGAGATTTCAACTATACCCTTCATATGGGTGATAAAGATGGTGGGAACCCTTGGAATGTTGCTCAGTCGGTAAGCCTGCGAGACTTTATCCAGGACCTGAGTCTCTATGATCCCGGGTACCTTGGTGATCCGTTCACTTGGACGAATAGGAGGATGGGAATGGCCTGCATTCGTGAAAGATTAGACAGGGCCCTTTGCTCGCAATCCTGGATAGATCGATTCCCGGAGACCCAGGTCAAACATTTCACGGATCAAGGATTTGATCATCGTGCTCTCTTGCTTTCTGATAAGCCTTACGCTAGAAATAGTCGGCCTCTTTTCCGGTTTGATGCCCGGTGGGCTGAAAATCCGGAAGTCAGGGCTATGGTTTGCTATGTCTGGCAGGAGGATATCTAGGGGACTCCCATGTTCCATCTTTGGGAACGACTGAAGAGACTTCGTCATTTGTTAAATGACTGGAGTAGGGCGGGCACCACTAACTCGCTGCATAATATCAGAACCCTCCAGATCGAAATTGATAGGGTAAAACCCGTCCACCCGATTGACTGGGATGAGTTCAGGAATCTGGAGATGGAATTAAATCGGCAGTGGGAGGCAGAGGAGGCTTATTATCACCAAAAGTTCAGGGTTCACTGGCTGAAAAAGGGAGATAAAAATACGGCCTATTTCCACACAGTGACCAGAGTCCGTCGTAAAAAGAACTTTGTGGAGGGCCTTCGAAATGAGAATGGGGAGTGGATCACGGATGAGGCTGGGGAGGCTGGGAAGGCTGGGATTGCGACGTCATTTTATCAGCGGCTCTTCACTACGGAAAATCAGGTGGCCAACATGGCTGAGCGTGTGGCTGCTTTGCCCATTGCTCGAAGTGTTACTCCCGAGATGAATGCCAGCCTGACGGCTGCAGTCCTACCTAGTGAAGTTCGTAAGACGGTTTTTGCAATGGGGTCGAAGCAGACGCCCGGATCAGATGGCTTCACTGGGAAATTTTTAAAAACCTTTTGGGATATTGTGGGTACTTCAGTGGTGGACGCGGTGTGTTCGTTCTTTATGACAGGTCGAATGCTCCGTAGTTTCAACCACACATGGCTTACTTTGATACCGAAGGTTGATAAAGTTGAATCCATGCGGCAATTGCGGCCTATTAGTTTGTGCCAATTTGTTTATAAAATAATTACCAAAATCATGGCGGAAAGACTTGCTTGCCTCTTGCCTCAAATTATCTCGGAGGGTCAGAATGCATTTATTCGGGATCATTGTGGAAAATATTCTCCTGGGTCATGAGTTAATACACTACTTGAAAATCAAAACGCGGGGTAAGAAAGGATACATGGCTCTGAAGGTTGACATGGAAAAGGCCTATGACAGAGTCGAATGGTCCTTTCTGATAGCAGTTTTGGACAAGACGGGTTTTAACTCGATCTGGCAAGAATGGATTCAGGAGTGTCTCCGGTTTGCATCTTTCTCTGTCCTCATGAATGGTTCCCCCTCTGGATACTTCACTTCTTCCAGGGGGTTACGGCAAGGGGATCCGCTTCCCCTCTTTTATTTGTGCTATGCACGGAGGACTTTGCGGCTCTCCTTCGGAAAGCTATCTTGGAAGGCAGGTTGGAAGGTGTTAAGGTGGATCCTCGGGCGCCCTGGATCTCTCATTTATTCTTCGTTGATGATTCTTATTTATTTTTTAGGGGT